TGTATGTGTGTGTGTGTTGATGATAGATTTATATTTTTAAATTATTTTATATGATATGAAATACTTATCTTTAAACTTTATACATAAAAAATATGATAATAGTTTAAATTGTTGAAGTTACATTTCCATATAGTATGACTATTTTGTTGTATTTTTAACATTTTACAACTTAAATATCACTCATCGTAAATATTAATAACATATTAATAAGAAAAGTTTCATATTTTAAGCAAATTAAAATAATAAAATCAAGTGTTTAAGTATATTTCTGAATTTAATATTTTATAGTTATATATATATATATATATATATATATATATATATATATATATATATATATACCTATAAGAATCCTTTTGTTGCATATTAAATAATTATATTTTTAATGTGAAAATTACCTAATTCATTTAGTTATAATCGTATAATCATATTATGATAGCAAGTACATATATTTTTACGAAATACCATTCATCTTGTCCAAATAAATTATATCTTAAAGTACACATCCTAATGTTATTTGATTTTACTAGAAAAAGAAAAAATAATTAATACAAATCAGTCTATTTAAACAATTACGATATTGTAAGTCATAAGATCACTCTTAAAGAATAGCTGTATCGTCAAGTAACAAATTACGATACGAAAAGAAAAAATTAGAAGGTCTGACATTGATCATACACATTTCTTCCCCTTGTTTCCTCTAGTTTGCAGTAACAGCAGCAACAGCTTTGCCTGGTTTATGTTCCTCTCGCTCTTCTGCTCTCGCTGGGGTACAATCGATATCTCGGGGCGGCTAAGAGTTTCTCACAGACCAGTGGGGTAGTTTTGCTCTCACAAGCATGTGTGTGTGTGCATATGTGCGCGCGCGCGTGCGTATGACAGTGTGAGTGCGTGCGCATACGAAGGCCCTGACGCAGTTTATATTTAGAATTTACCTTTTACATTCAAGGCCGGTGACAGCACACGGCCTTTACATTGTGCGTGCAAACCATAGATAGGGAATACACGGTATACGCAATTAATTTCTCAGCCATTTTTTTCAAATCGTATTTTTCAAATGAATATAATTGCAATGAATATAATTTCTCAATGAAAGAAAAGAAATCTATCTGTCTCTTATCAATTTAATCAATTAAAATTGACCTCTGTTTATGTTGCTCATTCAATCAATAATTTATATAACACAAAATATCTTTCTATTTAATTTTACATTTTTATATCAAATTATTTATTTAACTCAATTTATTATTATTACCAAACTCTTAAGTATACGCGCGCGCGCGCGCACACACACACACAGATAATAGACTTTTTTAGATGTTTTACAAACAAAAAAAAAATTTACAATCGAAATCAAAATAAAAAATTACCTTTGACTATCTATATATGTATATATATGTATATATATATATATATATATATATATAAATTATAGGAGCATTACAGTTATGTAGATAATTACAAGAGAAATATTAGTATTAAAAAGCACGTTAAATTGTAACTAGATAAAATTTTTTTCTTGATTTGTTAAATTTATATGATAATATAAAGTAGAAAGATTATGCATGTTATGCACTTACTTTTAAATTTAATTTTAAAACAACACATTACAAATTTATAGTATTGAATGGTATAAGAAAGATTTAAAAATATGTTATATATAGTACATCTCCAAATATCTATACAACATTTTTCTATTTAAGCTAGTATTCATAGTATTGAATAATAATTGAAGTATAAAAACTTTCATTACTGTAATATTATTCGGAATTAAACATATCAAAAAATGAAAAATTCTGAAACATTTTTTAATTCGATGACTAATTTAAAAACTTCGTACTACTCATAGCCCTACAAACTCAAGAAATCTACAATTATAATTTGTATTGTATATGATCTATCATAAAATTATATTTTGAAGTAATGTTTTTAGATATTACATTCAACCGTAACTTAGTTCATGTAATATAGAATAAAACCATCGATTATGATGATTTTACAATTCATATTATGCATTGACAATCAAAATGGTGCATTATGATAAATGAAGAAATCTATCTTAAAAATTTTCATTTAAATTTAAATTTTCAATGGAGAGAATCATAAATCATTACCCACCTGTTAGCATTCAATACTAATAATAATAAAATAAAATTTACTATTATCAGAAATACTGGATTTTAAAATAGTACTTCTTTTTAATATACAAATTCCAAGTCCGTTCATTCATCAGTACGGAATAGTACATTGATATTTTATAATATAATATAATACAATAGTATTTTATAAATAAACCACACTGTATAAACAATAATTATTATACATAATAAAATATCAGATTTTACCAATTCTATATCAAATTTATTATCAAGATTCTTTATATATATATACATATATTGAGAGAGAGAGAGAGAGAGAGAGAGAGAGAGAGAGAGAGAGAGGCAAAATAAAAATGTAAATTATAATGAAATATTTAATTCCTTTCAACTAACTATAGATATATTCTAAGCTTATTACTAGAAATTTCGTAAAGATAAGACTAATTAAATTCATGCCAAAATATTAGGAAACATTTGTTTTTCAAGTCTTTATAATTATAAATTTAAGGAGAAGCATTCTATGATTTTACATTACATCTAATAAAAGAGAAGCTAAAAATAATAAATATTTATGATTTCGTTTGATAATGACAAATGTAAAATTATCAGAAAATAGAATCGTGTATTTTATTTTTCAGTCTTTTAGTTTCGAAATTATTTATCATCCATATCGATATTTCAACAATTGATCTCAGAAAGTTAAGTTTGCATTCATTTTAACTCAACTAATACATATTAGTTATAGAAAATACATATAATTTTAAAAGTATCGGTCATTAAATTATAATTAATATTAAATAAATGTATTAGCGTATTTCCACAGTATTTAATATCCATATATTAATTTAGTTAAATCATAGTTTATCATAAACTAATAAATTTATAATTTATAGATCTAGTTTTATGAAAAATATGTTTAACCGATTTTTAAATAATTCTCATTAATTTATTTATTTATATATATATATATATATATATATATATATATATATAATAATAATAAAACTTATGTAATAATTTATATTAATCTATAATAATTGATATGAAATTACCAAAATATTAGAATATTTATACACTTTGAATTGAATTGATTGAGAATTTAAAACAGAATTTTTCATACGGATAAAAGATCATTATCATTTTTACTTTTTAAATTTAACAAATTAAAATTTATTACAAAATATCTTTCTATTTAATTTTACATTTTTATATCAAATTATTTATTTAACTCAATTTATTATTATTACCAAACTCTTAAGTATACGCTATATATAAATCTATAGTATAAAGTATAAATATATAAATAATAATAGACCCCAATATATATAAATATATATATAATAGTATAAAGTATATAAATCTTTTAACTTAATTAGAGCTATATAACTACAAATAATTGTATATTTGTTAAAACATTTTAAGAATACATACAAAAATTTGTGCTATTAATTTCATCGTTTATTTTTATTAAAACGATTAATTAAGCAGCTTTAAAAAAAATAATTTTTCCAGACAACGTATTTATATTGAACTTAAAATAAAAATAAAATAATATTAATCAATATTTTGTTTTTATCGCAAGAATTACGATGAATTAATTTTATATATAAAAGAAGAAAATGTCGAAGGTAAAATAATAGAACTATAAATAAACTAATGCTTTTTTAATCGATAGACTTAAAAGTCATTTCGAAGTAGTCACTCAATAAAAAATCATTTTGCGAAAAAAGTGTTTAATGTTTATAATATTATAGTTAATAAATATTTTAATGTTTGATTAAATCCAAAATATTACACTGAAAAATCTCTACCTTGAGGAATGCATGCGTTCCTAGTCCTAAAAACATATGTTTTAGATAAATGAAAAACACATTTAATTTAAAAATCAATAAGCATAGAATCAATAATAAACAAAATATTCATTGAATAAACTGTGGTTGTACTGTAAACAATAAAAATGTAGAAGTTTTATCTCTTCATCTTAATCTATATATTCAAGTACAAGGTTACGTATTTTTTATTACCATAAAAATATAACTTTTATTATTGAGAAATAAAGAACAAATAAATAATCAAGCTATATTTTGCACAAATAATAACCATCGAAATACATAAATGAGTTTAAAATCTAATCAATGCTCGTTATAGATTGAAAAGGTGAAATAAATTATTCATACGTAAAAATGTGCTTTTCGTACCTCGTAGTATAAAAATTCTAAGCGTATCCTTTAATAAAGGTTAAATTAATTAATTTTACGTTGTTGAAAAAGATGGAGAAAATGAAAAGACATCATTTATGTATTTTAAACATCTGATTGCTGTATAAACAGATTTTTTATTTTTCAATAATCTTTTTGTATTTAAAAATTTTTTGTAAGGCCACGAATATGTATATGCGCGCGCGCGCGCGTGTAGATATAAAAAGTGAATTTGATTTAATTACAAAGTGAATTATTGATTATTTAGTAAAAATAGCTAAAAATAATTGCGAAAAAAACAATTACTTTATTAGAAATGTGAAAAGTAGTAAAATATAATTTAATAAAAATTACATGATTAGTTTCAAATGATAATGGCTAAATGTAAATTGTATCGTTAGTTTCCTTAATCTCTAAAGCTGGAGAACATGATAGAAAAAAATAATTTATAAAAAAAGAAGAGATTATAAAATATTGCTCGATATATAACTTACATAATCGATTGAAATATTAATGAAATGTTGATAATTTGATATAAATTGTAAAAGACTACTTTAAATAGGCATAACATTTAATTGAGTTTCACTTCTTTATTTAGTGCAAAAGCAAATAAAAGCATCATATTCGAAGGAATATTCAATCGTTTCTTTTATATTAAAACATATATTACACTAACATAATAACGATAATAAACAATGCCATAACATTCATCACACTCCAAATAACTTGATTCATCCATAAATGGGCGCCTTTTACGTAAGAATAATCTGAAACGTAAACGGAACATTGTGAAACGGGTGGACCGCTCGCGGCCTCACCTACATCATGCAGATGCATCATCATCATCAATCATCGGGTCAGCACACCCCTGCACCATGTTGTATTATAGACAAACTCTTCGACGGCTGTAGATGTTTTATTAGGCGACATTCCGATTTACAAGGACGCAATGTATATGCGAATTCGAATTTAAAACGTTATAATGTGTAAAACGTGTAATCGTTTTGTGTACAATTTTATATTATCTTTTCTATTACAATTGCGTCACGTAATCCAGCCGATTCAGACTTTAAGGAGTTGATAAGTGTTTATTAGGTGTCAATAGTGTCAATTGATCGATTTTCTTTCACATAATCTATTTTACGTAAAACACATTATAACCAATAAATATAGATAATTCTGATAGCTTTGGCATAGTTATGTTTGGGAGTATTACAGTATTGTTGAGGTTACTTTATCATTAAATACCTTAAGATGAATTCTTAAATATTTGGTAATTTACATGATATTGACTGATTAAAATGCTATTTGATGAATTTCAACATTGAAAGCTGATTATTTCAAGAGACATGGAAGATGAACATGCAGTGAGAGAAGCCAACAAGATTTGCGGTGTCTGTGGAGATCGAGCACTTGGCTATAATTTTAATGCAGTATCATGCGAAAGCTGTAAAGCTTTCTTTCGACGAAATGCCCTTAAAAATAAGGTATATTGTATAAATAACTAAAGCTCTTTGTAATATCTAATAGTCTTCAAAGTATTACGCACAAAATTACATTACATCAAAGCTATTAATACTTTGTTAATTAAAAGAAAAAACAATAATGATCATTGTATAGAATTTTAATTTATTATCAAATACACACACGGGTATATGTTTAATGTACCTGTATTATTAATGTTTGTCAAATAATATTAAGATACTATTATATATTATTATATATATTATTATATATATATATATATATATATATATATATTATATATCTTTTTCTAGTTAGGTAATTTTACAATCTGTTTTGATATTGTTTAAGAAATTTTGGAACTTTGCTTTTTCTTTCATTTTAAACTATAAATTCTAGATTTGTAAATTAAATGCAGATATGTTTTAAGTAATCATTTTAAAATACTATTATTCTGAAAAATATAATATTTTGAAAGGTTTTTTTATAGACTTTTATAATTGCAATGGTTACAAAGAATTGTAATCTATGTATTATCGTTATTTTATGATTCATTAATAGTTAATATAATATTTGAATATTGTCCTATTAATTTTATTAATAATCTATATTAAAATGTTATAGGATTTTCGTTGCCCTTTTAGTGAGAATTGTAACATAACGCCAGTTACACGACGTTTTTGTCAAAAATGTAGACTAGATAAGTGTTTTAGAATTGGTATGCGAAAAGAGTATATTATGTCAGAAGAGGATAAAGTTTTAAAACGACAAAAAATTGAACAAAATCGTGCAAAAAAACGACCTAGCTCGGAGAGTCAAAAGACAATGAAAATGAAAAGAGAAAGTATAGATGATTCAAATTTTGATGAAACCTGTACTTCTATACCTTCTGTAACTTCGGTTATATCAGAGTCATATTTTTGGGAATCCGATAAGAAATATACCAACCTTGATGCAAATAAACAACCATCAATGGATAGTATGAGTCCTGTCACAGCTGCTAGCGTTCCAAGTCCTTCAAGCCCATCAGAAAATTGTGATATAGTTGGTACTAAAACCTTAGAAATGTTAAAAGACTCGTCTCATAGTTCTCTTACAAATTTTGTTAAATTTGATCATTCTATTTCATATAATCCAAATGATTTAAACATTGAAAAGAGTTCTGCTAGTCGAATAAATTTTGATACAAATTCTATCAATAATTATGCCCAAGAAAAAGAACATTTATTAGATTCAGTAAAAATAATTGAATCGATAGGTACATGTAAGAAATTGGAGAAACATTTTCAGGAACCGATGGATTCTTCGGTGTCTTCACCGAAACGTTTAAGATTACAAAATAATTTACCAAATTATTCAATACTTAAGCCATCCTTGGAAGAACAAAAACTATATATACCATATGCAGAATGCTCAACAAATGTAAATTTAATGGAAACTTGTATGCATCAAGTTGTGCCAGAATCAAATGCAGAAGATACAATTGTGTGCCAAAAATCAAAAGAACCTTCTTTAAAAGGATCTGAATTAGCTTTAAAAATGATGCAAAATCCTGAATTGATCGCTAAGATAGTTAACAGTCCTAATATCATTGCAAAGGTTATTGAAGATCAAAATCTACTTACTAAATTTATATCTAATCCAGAAATAATTAACAAATTGGTATCAGATCCTCAAATATCAAAATTTCTAGAAGAAAAAATTTTATCTCCAAATATGCATGAAACTGCTAAAAGAAACACTGATAAGAATGCAATAGATAAACTTATTAGTAACGGAATTTCTGATAATATGATAAGAAATATGTTAGACAACGATCAGAATCATGTGGAAAATCCTATTTTAACAAACTTAATTACCAATCGTAACACTGAAGAGCATAATTATCAAAATCATGATAGTACAATAAACGAATGGAGTAAAACAACCGATGATGTCACTAGAGATGTTCTTCAAGATGTACAAAGGTATAAGCATATAATTCCTTAAGAATTAAAATATTTTTAACAATATTTGACACATATAAGTTTTAATATTTTAGGATACCCATAGCTGCAAATTCAATCGAATCTATTTTGTGTGAAGCTATAAAGTTAGAATTTTCTGCGTATTCGACATTAGGCGGTAATCAAAATAGCAGAGAATTAAATGATGCTGAAAGAGCAAAATTAAACGAGCTTATAGTGGCTAATAAAGCACTTTTAGCACCACTTGACGATGATATTACAAACTTAGTTGGCGAAGAATGTAGATTTAAGGTATTTTTAATTTACCATTTACATATGCTTATTAAATATAAAACTTAATATATAAATATCTATTATAAAGGGAAATTCTGGTCAATCTGATCCTATGCTATTAGATGTTATCAATTTAACTGCAATAGCTATACGAAGACTTATAAAAATGTCAAAGAAAATTAATGCCTTTAAAAATATGTGTCAAGAAGATCAACTTGCTTTGTTGAAAGGAGGATGTACTGAAATGATGATTTTAAGATCAGCCATTAATTATGATCCTGATAGAGATATTTGGAAAATACCGCACAGTCAAGATAGAATGTCGAAAATCAAAGTAGACGTATTAAAAGAAGCAAAAGGAAATCTGTATACCGAGCATTCAAGATTTGTCAGAACATTTGATCCTCGCTGGCGAGATGAAAATATTATTCTGATATTAAGTGCTATAGCATTATTTTCTCCTGATAGGCCTAGAGTTATTCATGGAGACGTTATTAAACTTGAACAAGTGAGTTTATTTATTAAATTATTTTGTGAATTAAGTGAGAAGAAAATAAAACATAACTTTATATACATTTCTGTATATATTAAATGTCAGTTTGGTAATATAACAGCTAAATTAAAAATGTATTAAAAATTTATTTTATGTATGTATAATTGATGGCTTAAAAAATATTAGACAAACAACAAAATTAAATTCAATATTCTTGTCTTAAATGTTAAATAAAATAAAACAATAGAAATATGATATATATTTATAAATATGACTTAAAACTTTAATTTTTAATTTTTCATGCTCAATCAAGTATTTAAAATTTACTATAATATACTAAATTTCATAAACAATTAGTATAAAAATAAAATACTAAAACACCAAATTTTATTAAATTATTTTCAAAAAATTCTATTGCGTACTCAATAATATGTATTTATTTTTACAATTATTTACCGTAAAACCATACTAAAACATTTAATATCGCAGGATATTTGCTTAAATATAAAAATTTCATTACATTACATATGAATTAAATTACATATACAGAATTACATATCTATATAAATATATAATCTACTTAAATTGTTACTTAATTAGCTACTTTTTATTTCAGAATTCTTATTATTATTTGCTGAGAAGATATTTAGAGAGCATATATCCTGGATGTGAGGCAAAATCGACGTTTTTAAAGTTAATTCAAAAAATTTCTGAATTGCATAGGCTCAATGATGAAGTAGTTGGAGTCTATTTAAACGTTAATCCATCAAGTGTGGAACCATTACTAATAGAAATATTTGATTTAAAGCATTAAAATAGCTCTAGCCACATACTTTAGTTATTTTTTTTTTATAAATAAGAATTTTTATATTATTTATATAGTCAAAGTATTGCAATATTGAAATTTTTCTTTATATTACGAATTTTTTCATAGAAAAAAATTTAATTTCGTTTCTGCACAGTTAATCATAATATTAAACATTTTTTAAATATAGTGGTGTAATATCCATTATTGGATGTAACTTTGATTATCAATCGATATTTCTAAATTTATTTTCTATAAGAAAATTTTATTTCAATGAAAGTTATCGATTATAAAAAAAAAAGTATATTTTGTTATAGAGAGAAAAGTTTTAAGAATAATAGATTTTGATTTATTAGTATTCGTAATTTTTAAAGTATAACTGTTTTTCTATATTCAATTAATATTTTACATTTGCTATACAGTTATAATATAGCTAGTTGACAAATTATTTGAAATGTATTTTAAAAATTTTAAATTAGTATTTGTTGTTTGATTATTTAAATGAAAATATTTGTCATCTTTTCTTTATAATACTACTGACACGTTAAAAACGTGAAAGTAAAAATTTTTTTGTTTTTTGAATTTAAGATATAATGAATATTTTACTGACTCAAAGTTTTTTGCATTATGTATAAAAATTACTCATGTACCTAATCAAAATTTGAAGCAAAAAACTTTTTGTACAAATCTAATATTTATGGTATTTTATAAGGATACAAATGTTAATTTTTTATTGTTAAAAAAATATTAGGCTAATAAACTGTTATGTGTTGACCAGGCAAGTCAATTATGAATCCAGTTGCAATTAAAAACAAGCTTTATTTTATAAGCTTAATTGTATTATAAATTATGTTTAATAATTATTGTTATATACATTCGAATGTATACATACCTGTATAATCCAACTCATACAAATGTTTAAAAATATTGCAACAATCTTATGAAGGTCAATCCGTTCTACTTGAATATCAATATATTTATGATTCATACAACCTGATATGCCTGCAAACTAAATCTTTTATTGTACACAATTGTGATAAATCAATAAAATATATTTTTTTCATAAATATATGTGTATGTACTTTCAATACAACGTTTTATGTTTGCGAGGTCAAATGTATGTAGGTATAATAAACTTCAAATTTCCCTACTGCCATCATCATTATCACAGAATGAAAGGAAAATTAAAATAAAAATGATAATTGATAATATATTTACAATCAATATTATAATATAAAGTAATACAGAAAATATAATAAAAAAAATGAAGTAAACAATTCCTTTTACGATATTACAAACAATTGAGACAGACCAGTTTACAATAGATTTAAAAAAACTAAAAATTCCAAACATTTTTTTAATTATAAAACATTTTAAAGGTTAAAACTTGCAAATTTTGACGTTTTTTATATTTAAATTTTAGAAACAATAATAATGCATTTGTTTTTTCTATGCGCGCGTGTGTGTGTGTGTGCATACATTTGTGTATATATCTATATAATAGAAATGTATATAAAAGAATAATTGTACGTGCTTGTATATATATATATATATATATATATATATATATATATATATATATCTTAAAAACAAATATATATAAATAAATAACAATATTTATAAATATTCATTATTTTATTTCTTTTAAAATTGAAAATAAAATATAAGTTATTTATTTCAATGACAATTGTAAAAGTTATAATTTTTTATAAAACACTATATTCTGAAGTTAATGCTCAAATATATACCTCGTATAAAAATATTTTTACATCCCTTCTTTTGTATGAAAAATAAGTCTTGTATAAATCAAACGATTTCATTAATATTTTCTACGATTCATTGTGTTGGTAAAAATTTCTTATTCGTTCTTTTAAAATTGTAAAGACACTTTCTAAATGGATTTTCAGAATAGTAAATCAATAGTTTTTAATTTCAATAAATAGTAACAAATTTATGTTTAAATCTTTCGTTTAATCTATATATTCATAGGAAATATTGATTTAAACAAAAAATGAATTTAAGAGATTATTCATGAAATTAAAATGATTCAAACATACTGTAGAATTGTAATTTAGGAAACATCCTAAAATAATTTCATGTTTTATATTTTACAAATATTTATAATGAGGTAAATTTTATTATACAAGTAAAAAAATTTTTTTTAATTGCTACAATTACAAATAATTAGCTATCCTGATTTTTTTTTTATCATGCATTTATCAATTTACGTTAAAATAGTAAATATATTGTTTAATTATCTTTAGGAAACTGATAACTTTTTAAAATTTTAAAACATTAAAAAAACACAAAACCTTAATATTAAATAATTTTTAAGGATTTCGTAATTAAAAATTGTTACGCCAAATAAATATTGCGGATTACAGATTCTATTTATAATTAGTATTTAAAATGAACAAAAACTCGACTATGTCGAGACTATAAAATTCCGTTTAGATAGTTTTTCCACAAATTCTTTATAATCACGTTTTTAACTATGATAGTAGATGCTTAAATAAACTGCATATTTTTATCCTTGATTTTCACAGATTGTCTAAATTAATTGTTTAATGCGATTGAACACCGTTTTCTCTTCCAGTGGAAGTATAACAATCTTTTGCTTCTCCACAAGCGACCTTTTGTGAGATAACTGGACTCGGGAAATTATCACGTTTGTAGTGATAGAATTGATCCGTATTTTCGGTATAGGTTTTATTTACGGTTGTAACATTGAGTTCATCTGCGGCTATGTAACATGCACCAAGTGCTGCTGACGTTGTGAGTCGAAGAAGAGTTAACTCCTCTATGGTCCCATTATTATGAATTTCTTCAATAAATCCAGATTTTAGATAATTCCATGATTTCCATATAGAACCGACGCTTATTACCTTCAATCCACCATGTTCTAATTTCAGATCCTAAAAACAGAAAATTGTACTTACAATGTACATACTTATCTCAGATGAAAGAAATACAATTTATATATTACTTAAAATATGTTATAAAATATATTATGCCCTCGAAATATTCGTTTAGCAATTATTTAACTTGTCCATTTTAAAAAATTAGAAAAATTGTTATTATTTTTCTCGTTTCATTAGGGCAAAATGATTATTAAAGAGGACAAAGTCTGTTAAAATATTGCTTTTAAATATAGATTGCTCATCTAAATGGAAAAAGTTCTAACGTGCATATTCATGAGTATGAATAATAATGTACACACTTATTTATTAAGCCAAAATGAAAATTGCAATATTATATGTTTGTGTGTGTATATGCGCGCACGGGCGCCCAAATATTATATACACATGATATATACTTACAACACATTTTTAAGAGTAAGTACAAATAAATAAGTTTTAATATTGTAAATCCCTATAAGAATTTATCGGCTTGGTGATTTTATTTTTTCAAAAAAGTATAAAAAGTAATAATATCTTCTATATATATATATATATATATATATATATATATATATATATATATATATATGTTATGACATTAATAAAGAGTATTTTTTATTATCAAAAATAATTTTTTTTATCAAAAATTATTCTATATAATTGTTTTTTATTGCAGTATTATTTGCGGCGTTAAAATGGATAGCCACATATAAAAAAAATCATAAATTTTTTGTAATAAAATAAAACTGCTTGGCAATGTTGTATATATTTAAGGTACTCTGATTTGCATGTGTAACTGAATTAAATTTTGAAATATTTTTTGAAATTTTAAATCCTTATTACAATTATGAAAAAGTGTTTGCTTATAAACATCGTACATTGTGTGCGTTTCGAGCTAGAGCAATCACATATTTTGCAAGAAATGTGCCGGCTTGTTGAAAAAGCTCCAAGCAAAGCGGATCGTCTCTATCGCAGCCGTAGACAAGCTCTTTTGTGAACATGGCGAACTTGCACTTGTCAAAATTGGAATAGAGATGGGGCATCATGCCCTGCTGGTCCACTACGCAAAAGTAAGCCTTCATTGCTGGCCAGACGTACGATGTCGGATGGGGTGGGCACATTAAACCATCGAAATAATCGAAAACGTACTTACAAGCTCGTTGCGCTATCCAATAAGCTATAACAGACGTTATATAAAAGTAAATTTAATAAAAGTAATATATAAAATATATAAAGTAAGCTATAAAGAAAATATAAAAATATAAACATATATTTATATAAAAGTATATGGGTTTATGCATTGTGATTTTTTAAAAATAATTTCTAAATTTAGTACAGTATATCGTGGAATATTGACATTACATAACTTTTATGTATTTTATATTAAGTACTATAGTAATACTCTATCTTATATTAAATACTTTACTTTATTCAAAATTATGATCTTCTATACTCCTTTGCTCACACACGCAATTTAAAAAATTTAAATTATAATAAAATGCACTGAAAACAATAAAATCATGAATTTACAATATAAGGAAATGTAATTGTTCCATACTCCAGAATATAGAAAGAAGGTAGAGAGAGAGAGAGAGAGAGAGAGAGAGAGAACATAATGTTTAAAAAATATAAATAATATTTTAAGCAAGAAAAAACTTGGCAACTGCAAAAAATCGTTATATATGTATTCACTAAATAAAAAAAGACAAAAATAATTTAAAAATTATATTTCTTTCGTTAAATTTTTTTATTTCATTCTGTACATTTTATTTTATTTCTTTCGGTAAAAGAAAATATAGAAAAAGAATTTTAGATACAAATTCTATCTTCAGAGATAGGAAAAAATTATTTTATGTAATTTAATTGTTGAAACTAAACGTTAGCACATTTTTTAGGAATTACATTTGTAAATTAAGTAAATCTGTGTGGCATAGTTTTTAAACAATACGTTTAAACATTTGCAGAAAATATTATAAAAATATTGGTAATACATAATAATTTTGTCTCAAAATAGAAGATATCATACATTTCAATCATATTTTATCAATCTTCTTGTAAGGTACACGAAATTTTTATAAAAAAATGCATTTTACACTAACTTCCAACACATAATATAACTTT